ATCAACGGTGTCTTTAATTGCAAAAACAGTTGGCTCGTTACAGCGAAAGGGTTAGCGAGTTGAAATTGCGCCTTCCACGATGCCTTCGCGAAATAGATTATAACAGGAACATTTCCATAATACTTAATCTCCGCGAATTATGAGTAATGCAATTCTTGACGTTGCGCGAGAATGATGTAATTACGATTACCTCGGTGAGACAAGCCAGACTGCAATTTATGTCAGTACTTTTGCTCTGTTTTAATAAACGACTCTTTGAGCGTGTTTCACTTCGTTAGGCAATTGCGGTAGGCTCGGTTAGTTAATGAATCCTTCGAATTTTTGATGTTTCCAAAGGTCGTGTTTTACGAGACAGTTGGTTTTTCTTTTTCAAAAAATTAAGCAAGCGCTGTTTGTACATTTTAATTCAATCTGATACACCTATGTACGATCTTTTGTAGAATTTCATCAGTCTTACACATTTATTTCTAATTTCTTTTCTTCGGTAAATGTTGTTTTACGCAAAAATTCAATAGCTACATTGCAATAAAAAATTAGCAACCTTGCGTTCAAATTTTTCAAACATAATCACCTCTAAATTTCTCTATCTTCACGAATCTTACACTTTCATTTCTAATTTCTTTTCTTCGGTAGATATTTTACGCAAAGGTTCAGTAGCTACATTGCACTAAGAAATTAGCAAACCTTGTGTTTAAATTTCTCAAAAATATAACCACCTGTAAATCTGTCTACCTTTTTCTCTGAAATTCTTTCATTTCTCTCGTCGAAAATACTTGCGCCCGTATTTCGGGGACACGATAACGTTCGCGGCTACTTCAAAGGGCTAGACTGATCGATACGTCGTAACTCGACTATCGATTGTAATTCGACTATCGGGACGACAGTTCACCGAGAGATGACGTAACCACACAGAACGATCTTAAGAATGGATGGAACGTGGATGAAGTGTAGCACGTGACGGAGTGTGTCGTTACTTACGGGAGAGGCGGTGTCAGCTAAAATAAACAGAATGTCACAGGTATAAATAAAGCTTTCACTTTCTTCGTGCGCCTCTTTGCCAGCTTCTCTTCCTTCTTTCTTCGCCCTCTTTATTTTTTCTTTTCTCTTTTCTCTCTCTCTCTCGATCAGCTAGACGTGACAGAGGTCGCTTATTCGACGTGCCCCCTATCGGAACCATCCCTAAAAGCGTTTAGCTTGTGCGCCATCAACAAGAATAATTATAGTCAGGCGAGTGAGGACTGACCGATTCTTCAGTGAAGATGAACACTTTTTCATTTTCTTGCAATAAATGAATTTTTACGTTATAAAAGTATTTTATTTGTTAAAATAAACGACAGTAATCTACGATCGTGTGAATTATACAATTTTTGAGAATTTATCTTTCTGTGGATGTTTTATGAAAGAAAATATACAGAATTGTGAGAAAATCCGTCCCGGAGACGGTGAAGCGAGCACCTTGAAGCAAGGCCCAGCGCGCTCGGTGGGGGTGACTCCGCCCCTTTGGGTCTTTCCCTGGGCCTGTTCGCGTAGGGGTGGACAGGGATCGGCAGGACGACGCGTCTTCGCGAGACCCTCGAAGCACACTTTTTGCGAACGACGCTCCGATAACGCGGATATAGACTTGTATTAACATAGACACGTTTTAGTGAATTTTACGCCCACCCTACGCTGAGTTTAGAGTTCTTTCTGACAGAATGGCTTTAGAAAGTGTAGTCCAGTTAAGTTCTACTCTTTTAACACATTTTGTACCACACAGTGCATATGAATCACAAACAGTCGCTTACCTTTTCCAAACATACTAAATAAAGTGATAAATATAAAATTTGGCATAGAAAATCAGATTTAATCAGAAAGAACCCGAAATAAGAAACAAAAACAAGCGTTCGAGGCGTACAAAAAAATAGCTTAAAATGCTTCAGCACAGAGTGTGTGTTAAATAAGTTTATCTTTTTTCCTTTTTCTATTCATAAATATATTTTCCAAATTTGATTATTTAACTGGTGATATCCCAAGTATTAAACATTTGTGATATTGATAAGAAACAACCGCAATAAATAGTATCTTTCGCGATACAAAATAGAGTTTCGCAGCGTGTAGCACCTTACTATTCCGAACTGCTCGTATAAAAACTACACGAGACGTGTTCAATCTCTTCATCTGAAAAATGCGTTTACTTGCCAATTTACGTGATTCCACGTCACGCGGGGTAACAGTTACAACCACGCAGTTTCTATACCGCGTTTCAGGAAGAAAAAAGGCTCGGTGAATTCGAAAAAATGAGCGCAATCTCTGGTCCAGCTGGAGCTGCAGCACGTGACGGGTGTCATTAATATTTCATTAGCGTTCACCTTTCGTTGTTCACGCAGATCTGTCCCTTTTTATTGCGACCATCCCCTCGCCTAAGCCGCACGATGGCTGAATTTTTATTGCGCGCATTTGCGCCGCGATAATTTCCAAAAGAACTCGCATGTTTCCGTGGAATTCTTTCTTCTTCGTGTCGTTTAAAATATCGACTTTTCGAAATCGAGAAACATATACCTATCATCCCTTAATTCAAGGGGTTTTATATTTTTCTTGCACCGTATGTCCATCACAATTAACCCTTTGCACTCGAAGATCTTTTTACCATAGGAGAGCAGCAAATTTTGCTACTTGCTTATGCTAAGAAATCAATATCTACTACCTTCAAAATTCATATTCAGTATCTGCTAAAAAATGGATGAAATTTATCGAAACTAACGTAGAAATAAATCGTACTGTAAGAGTAAAGAATTACAGGCGCTTAATAACGTCGGTTCACTCGTCGATGGCTATGTACGATATTGTGTGGGCCTCTGCCCTTTATCCGTTTTTATATGGTTCTTCGGCCGTTAGGACCGTGCAAGCCTTAGGGTGGGGGTGCAGCCTGCGCTGCTCCTTGTCTAGGTGCCCCTGCGGCTCGGGTCCTGCGGTCGCTGCCTAGGCGCGTCGCACGGCGCCTTACAGTACATACATGTATTGATAAATATATTTTAATTATAATACATTCTGTGGCGATCGCCACGGGGGGCCTACGTACCTAGGCCTGGGCGACTCTTGGCCCTCGAGGCGAAGAGTCGAGAGATGTTTTCCAAACATCTCCGGGTTTCTTCGTCCTCGAGGACAAGAGTATCGCCTTGGCAATGCAGGCCCGCGCCCCCACTTCCTGGGACTTTCCCAGGGAAAAAGGGGCTACTTAAGGGAGTCCCGAAAAAGTTTATCGTGGACATCCTTTCTACATGCATCGTGTCGCCTATGAATTAAAAATAGTTTAAGCGTTATCTGATTTAAATAAATATATATTTCTGTTAAGTAACCTTAGTGTGATAATTACTTTTACACCACGTCACTTCCGAAATTCCATTCGTTAATTATTACCAATTAATTATTTACCAAATAGTAAAAGGGTTAATAAAATAGGTAGGGGGAGTTCCCCTAGCACCGAACGCTTAAGGTTTTTCCTAAATAAATCTCTCTACCTGTGCACTCGCGACTGAAACGCGTAGAAAACTGATTTTCATTCCTTTTATCTCCTCTAGGAGATACGCAGAATAACGGCTCAGTAGCGTTTCAATTATTGCAGATATAACTAATGTCCGATATTAGGTGTTGTCCGGCGTTAAGGGAACTCCTACTGATGTTCATCTATTATAAAATAGGATAAATAACAACATTACTGATAGGACAATTCAACCCTTTCATCGCTATTGGCGCCTATAGGCGTTTTGAAAATTTGGAGCCGTTTTGCGCAGTTCCACCTTAATTTAATACTTGATTTCATCCTTCACGCACTTCCATCTTAACTTAACGAACTGAATTTCAAAACGATACGGCTAAAGTGACAAATTTTGCAGCGATGGTTAAAAATTTACCATCGGTCACCCACGTCACGCGTTAAAATCTGCCGTAGCGAGAGGGTTGATAGTATTATCAATGAAAAATCACGATTATCTTGTCTAGAGCTAGAAGCAATCGCGGTCGTTGGTATAAACTCGAACGAAAATATGTATAAAATTGTGCTCCGAGACGGCAGAACGAGATGCGGCTTCCCCATCCCTGGGCGTTTTCGGTGATCCATCTTAGGTTCTCGTTGTCTACGTCTGAGAGACAACGAAGACGACGGAGAATGCAGTTCAAAGCTTGTTCATTAAGTACTAATTAATTGGCTGAATTGAGGGGTTGTCGAGATTGCGTAGTCAAAGAAGGTATAATCGAGTTGTGGAGTAACGAGTGAGGGCAACGATGAGCTGTTTCAGGAAAAGTGAAGAAGAAAGGGAAGGCTCGAAGATATAATAACGAAGAAACGAGCGTGTATCCGTGTCGTTCTTATTCGTATACCTCTCTGTGGCTCTTTTCTTCTCCACTTTTCGTCGAGCTACATTTGCTTTCAGGATTTTCATTAGAAATTCTTGCTTTGCGAGACTCGGTTCGGTAACTAATGGGTTGAAATTCTTGTCATGTGACGCATAATTTGATTATTAATGGATAGTATCCTACTGGAGAATGTAGAGAACAATTTTTTTGCCAATTGACCAATATTCTGTATTTTCAATAATTATAAATTCAATAATATTTTCA